GGGGGGGGGGGGGAGGTGGGATGGGGTGGGGGGTTCTTGTGTTCCGCAAACGTGCGAGGGGTTCGGAAAGGCGGATGGGAGAGTGAGCGGCCGAGCACGACGTGCACGACGCCACTCTGGCTAGCGACACTCCCCCAGACCTCGTTCGACTGCGAGATCCGCTTCTGAACCTCGATCTGCTTCTCCTTGCGCTCGTACTCTGCGCGGATCTTTGCCTTCTCCGCCTAGAGAGGTGGCGGAGAGGGTGGCAAGGGTTGGCGGCGGCGGCGGCTGCGGGGGGTGAAGCCGGCGGCGACGGCGACTGCGCAGGAGGATGGCCCGCATGTGACGGACGGCGACGGCGCCTCCCCCGAGCAAGGGGCATCTAGCGGCTCTGGGCAGTGTGCAGTGGCCGATTGGGCCCGCGTCTGGCTCTGGGTAGGTGTAGCTCGGAGGCGTCCGCACACCTCGACCATCCGCAGCTTCTCAATGTTGAACTCCTCGTCCGCCTAAGGGGGATGGGTTCCGAGCAGGTTGCGGGGGCGTTCCGCCTTTTTGGTCCTCAACTGCTCGCCCGCCTTGAGCTTGATCTCGGAGGCCTTCTCCGCCGCCTCCTGGTGGATGAACTGCTGCATCTGCTTGATTTGCTGGTTGATCTCCACGTCGTTCATCTTTGAGGCTGGGGTGGAAGGAGTCGAAAGAGCAACGAGGGGACCTGCGTGCAAAGTATGTGTATGTTAAATGAGGAGCAGAGAGGTGGAGGGGGAGAAGGGGGCGGCGGAGGAGGAGAAGCGGGGATGATAACAAGCCCCGCCACGGCGGCAGCGGCGGCGGCGGCGGCGGCGGCGGTTGTGGCTACACGGCGGATGAAGATTCACTGGTGAAGCGTTTGGTGCAAAACGCCCCGCCGTCGATTGACGCCGTGTGTGGCTGGGCGTCATGGAGCGGCGGGGCGGCGGGGCGGCGGGTGGTGGGGTCGGCTTCGCGCGTGCTACGAGGGGGCGCGGCTGTGCCGGTGCGCGCGCAGGGGCGCCGGGGGCAGGGAGCTGTGCACCGCGACACAGGTATCGACGCGGGGGAATTCTTTTTCACTTGAGCACTTGAGCACTGGATAGGGTCGATTCCGCATGGTACGGGACCCCTCGATCGTCTCGCCCTCCCTCGCTGGTGTGCTCATTGGGGGGGGGGTCATAACAAACACGGTACAGATCGAGGTGCACGCTGCCGAATCTTTTCACTCGAGTAGGGGGGCGTTCTTTCTGCGGCTGCTAGGGGAAACCCAAAGCGCGGAGCCCCCTCGGAGACCCGTGTTTACTTTATGGTTCCCTGCGAACGCGCACCCCCCAGGGTAGGGCTCTCTAGCCCGTAACCCGATACCGATCATCTGGCCCGCCCGCTCGGTTGGCTGCGCTTCTTTTCTTTCTTAGCTCCCCTGCGAGTTTGAAAGGGGCGACGGACGCTTGCGTCCTAGCCTCCAACAACGCCTCCCCGGCGCAGAGGCCCCCCCGGAGGGATGCACAACGGCTCCACGCCACGCCGCTTGCGGCGGTCCTCTTCCCAGCTCCGCTGAGGCCCGTGCGTTATTTTTTCCAGCCAGAGATACGACCCGGTCACACGGGGCAACGTGTGTTTTCAGATCTCGAGCATCGTCCACTTTACCCGAATCCCCGCAACACCAGCCAGCCGGCAGTCCGAGAAGGCGGGCCGCGACTCCTCCTCCGTCCGCTTCCACAAGCCACTGCGCGGAGTGTCGTCCTCGAGCTCTATCCCCGCCGCCGCCCTGTTGCCGCGGATGGCTTCAACGTGCGCAAGCGCGACGACTCCACTCTTCGTCAGTCAGGCTGTTCTTGTCGGCACTTGGAGCACTTGGAGTGCAGTCGGTAACCTCACATCCATCGGCGATCGATTATTTTTTCGCGATACAAGGCACGCGAAAAGGAGAGTTCTGTCATCTGTGTACGTATTTGCATATGGGCTCCAATGCCTCCGCCTCCCAGGCCATGGAGCTCGAGGAGGTTGCCCGCATGCTCTCGCCGTGCGGCTTCGACGTGATCATCGTCTGCTGCTCGAACCAGGCCGCCGAGAACTACTGGCAGGCGCGGCTCGAGCAGACCGTCGTGCAGGTGACAGGCACAAATGCAAAGGTGGTCGCGGTGCACGAGGACTGGAACGGCGGCGCAGGCAACGGGCTGGGCACGCTGTACGCCTACCAGAAGGCGCGCGACAAGGCGAGCCGCGACGGATTTGACCTCGACGCCAAGCTCTCAGGCGGCGCCTCGGTTGCGCTTTTCCACACCGCTGGCAAGGGCACGCGGCTCGCGCCGCTGCCGGGCGCGGAGAACAACAACAAGCCGGGCGTGAAGCTACCCTCGCTCCTCGAGGTGGGCGGCGCCGCGCAGCCCCTCACTGTCCTCGAGGCGGTGATGCGCCAGACGTCGTCGTACGCGCCGTTGCGCGGCGGCCGCATCTCGGTCTTTTGGGGCGACCAAGTCTTTGTGCCGTCGGCGGGGATACAGCCGTCGACGCACCCGGCGGATATCCTGGCGGCGCTGCGGCCCATGCCAAGCAAGGCCGAGTGGGAGGCGGGGCAGCTGCACCAGTACGGCCTCATCGCCGTTGGCACGGCCGGCGACGCGACTCAGCTCGAAAAGGCGCTGCCGCCCGAGACGCTCCCGAGACGCTTCCGAGACACTTCCGAGACACATCCGGGACACTTCCGGGACACTTCCGGGACACATCCGGGACACTTCCGGGACACTTCCGAGACCGTTGCAGATCCCGCACTCGCCAGCGACTCGCACGGCTACACGTACGCTCCGTCCGTTGAGCGCACCTCACGCCCCGTTCGCTTCTCGCCCTCCCCGCTGGACCGACATGTCCACATGTCCTCCACCTGCCAAACGGACGCGGCAGCACCTCCCAGACCCCCTCACAGCTGCTTGGGCGCAAAGAGCGGCATGTGGCGTAGCGGTCCCCGGTCCGCTGGCCCGAACGCCGCCGCCCCGTCCGCCGCGACAGGTGGACTACGACACGGCGAAGGCGTACTTGCCGCCGGACGTCGAGCGTGTCGGAACATCGCTCGGCTCCTTCTCCCTCTCCGCAGCGCTGCTCGCCGCCCTGATGGCACTCGCACAGCCGAGAGACATGGATGCAGCCGAGAGACAGCCGAGAGACAGCCAAGAGACAGCCGAGAGACAGCCGAGAGACAGCCGAGAGACAGCCGAGAGACAGCCGGGACACATGGCCGAGATGAGAGACAGCCGAGAGACAGCCGAGAGACAGCCGAGAGACAGCCGAGAGACAGCCGAGAGACAGCCGGGAGACATGGATGCAGCCGAGAGACAGCCGAGAGACAGCCGAGAGACAGCCGAGAGACAGCCGAGAGACAGCCGAGAGACAGCCGGGACACATGGCCGAGAGGAGAGACAGCCGAGAGACAGCCGAGAGACAGCCGAGAGACAGCCGGGACACATGGCCGAGAGGAGAGAGAGGCGAGAGACATGGCCCTTCTCCCTCTCCGCCGCGCTGCTCGCCGCCGATGGATCGCCGCCCCCCCTCCCTCCACCCTTTCCGCCACCACCTCCGTCTCCTCCACCTTCTCCACCACCACCGAGCCCGCCGCCTCCGAGCTCACCCCCCCCCGGTCCCGAGGCAGTGCCGCAAGCGCCCAGCCACACTAACCACACTATCAGCCCCCGTCCCCACTATCAGGCCGAGTTTGCGCCCGAGCTCGCCGCCAAGTGCGCCTGCCTCGACTCGGACCCGCACTTTTGGATGCCGCTCACCCTCCAAAAGGAGGACTACCTCGCGGTGATGGGCAAGAAGGGGACCCCGGCCGATGAGGCGGCGGCGCACTACGCGCGGATGGCCGCTTTCGCCGCCAAGTTTGCGCCGGGTGGCGGGGGGATCCTCGGCTGCGTCGATGTGGGCGCAAAGGCGCTCTGGTGGGACTATGGACGCCTCGAGCTCTACCAGACAAACAACCTGCACGCGGCCGAGGAGGGCCCTTCGCCGCACGCACTCCGCACCTTCCTCAAGCTGCAGCCGCAAGGCGCGCCCGAGTCGGACGCGTCTGGACGGCAGCAGCGCAACCAGCTCGGCGCCGGCCTGACCGTGCACCCCTCGGCGGTGGTACTCAACTGCCGGATCGGCTCGGGCACGATCGGGCGCGAGAGTGCGCCTGCGCCCGCACCCTCCTCGCCCGCACCCTCATCGCCCGTACCTGCGTTAGGGCCGGCTGCGTGCTTGTCAACGTGACGGCGCCCGAGGTGGAGGTGGAGGCCGCCATCCTGATGAGCGTGACCAGCGCCGGCCCTGTGCGTGGCAAGCGAGGCGTCCTCTACAACGTCGTGCACGAGGGGTCGGAGCCGCTCTCCGCCGACGCCGTGCGCGCCGACGTCTTCCAGCCCGGCGGCAAGCAGGCAGCCTCTCCACCCCTGCAGCCTCTCCTCCCCTGCAGCGCCTCCTCCCCTGCAGCGCCTCCTCCTGCCCCTACAAGAGTGAAAGAGCCGGCAGGAGGTCGGAGTCTAGTCCAGATGGAGCCGAGATCGAAGTAGGGGCGTGGTGTGCTCCAGTCCCCCCCCCCCCCCCCCCAGATTGTGGTCTCATCGAGCATCGAGACGGACGGCGGAAAGGCGTGGAAGGTCACGCTGCCCGAGAACGCCTTTTCGTTCGAGGAGGTCTACAAGCAGAACCAGAAGCTCGACGTGAGCGAGTGCCAGGCCTTGGGCGCCGCCGCACACAAGCGCGTGGCGCAGGCGCTCGAGACGCTCGAGAGGCTCCCCTGATGGTCCAGACTCTGCCGGAAGAAAGGAGGGGCTGAATCTATGTGTGATTGCCGGGCGGCACCGCAATGCGTGTGCTGAGGCGGTTTCAATTGGGCGGTTTGCGGAGGGGAGCCGGAGGGGGGCGATGGCGCGTGACATCTGTGGTTGTGCGTGCGCGCGCGCCGACGTGTGACGGCCCGTGACGATAAAACAGCGCACATTTCTGTGTGATGTTCCACGCATTGTGCTTTGTGGGGGGGTGAACCTTCTCTATTTTTGTATAGACCTAGACGGCTCTCCGTCCCATCCACACTCCATCGCTTCGGTGGAAGGGGGTGAACCGCGCCATCTCCCGTCTCCGCTTTGACCTTTCTCTCTGCACTCTGGTAGGACGGGAACGAGATGATAGTAGGGAGTAGAGAAGAAAGCAAAGTCCAAAGAGGAGCCCTGCGCACGCACGACTCCGCAGGAGAAGCCCCTCCACAGAAAAACTGCGGCCGCCAGCGACTGAGCGTCTCGCTGGCGGACGGGGAGAGGAACACAAAGGGACGTACGGTAAAGCCGTACGGACGTCCATCCACTGGGATATGAGAGTACTGGAGAGATGAGGTCGAATCTGCTGATTCAACAGCCGCCCAAAGGAGCGCCGCCTCAACACGGGGTCTCGGCTCTATCGAGCCATGCTAGCTCTCCAGTCGCAGCCGGGTGTTCCCGCAAGCAGAGAAGACTAATCCTGGGGGAAGCAACCCGATCCGCCGCCCAAGCTCTCACGCCGCGCGCGTAGGGCCCTTAGGGGCCTAGGCTGAGAAAACACAACCTCTCCCTTTTCTCCCCCAGTAAGCTAAAAGTTACGTACAATGCACCGGCTTTACACACACACGTGAGAAGGTTCGACCTTCGTTGCGGTGCATATAGTGCATTTCATCGGATCCCTTCCTACATCTATCATCTTCTAGATCTAGGAGACTAGGACTATGTCTATGAGCAGCTCTCCGCTCACAATGTCAATGATCAATGGGACTGGTGACGCACCGACCGACCGAGACTACTAGTACTACCCAAAACGTCACCCCAATCACATCGATTGTGAGCGGAGCTGCTCACGTAGTCGACAAACAAAACTCTCCCGTAGTCGTAGACATAGTCCTAGAAGATGTAGGATTAGTCGTAGGCGTCACCGTAGGTGCTCACAATCGCACAGAGATGCTACGATTGCGAGGAGTGATGCTCACAATCCTTCGACTTCTTTCTAGCGACTTCTAGGATTGAGAGCGAGGCTGCTCACTCACTTAACCGTAGGTAGGTAGGTAGTAAGGTGAAGAACAGCCAGGCTCGGACTGGACACCAACGCGGTATGGGTGGACGCTAGACAGATGATGACGACACGCACGAGCGACACACAGACACAAACAAGCTCACAAGACACACAGCCAGCGGGCTGCCACACACCCTGAGTCGGCGTACTTAACCGTTTCCGAAAAAAGAATTTGCCTAACCCACAAGGCTACACGACGCCCTACTGGGCGCCCTCCGCTCCCTTCCCCTCAGAGCCCCCCATCCCCCGCGCGACGCGCACGGAAGAATTTACTGCACGCCACTGTCTTGCCGCGGCTGGACGTGGGCACCTTGGAGAAGCCGTTCGTGGGCCGAATGCCGTCGCGGTCGCAGCAGCGGCGCCTCCCACTTCAGAGTGCTGCGCCCAGCGCTGACACCGCCGCCGCCGCCACGCCTAGCGCGCTCTCGCTCGGGCTGGTTGAGGTGCGAGACACCGGCTGTCCCACCCGCGGGCATGGCCTCTTCGCTGCCGCGCCGCTGCCCGACGGCGCGTACCTCGGCGACTACACGGGCGAGGTGCGGACTCGCCTCGTCACTCAGCACACTCCCTCCACGCCAATGCCATCAGGCGCCACGCACACACCGCACGCAGCCTCACGGTGCCTCAGGGTGCCTCGCAGGTGCTGACGCAAGAGGAGTACCTGGCGCGGTACCCTGATGAGGATGCGCGGTACGTGCTCGCCGCCAGCGCCGACTGGAACATCGACGCCGCGGAGGCGGGCTCTTCCTCGCTGCTGCGGTACGTCAACCACTCGTCCTCGCCAAACTGCTATTACCATGTGGAGCGGGTGCGCAGGTCGCCCGCGCGCCGCGTGAGCTTCTACACGCTGCGGCCCGTGCGGCCGGGCGAGGAGCTGCTCTTTGACTACGGCAAAGAGTTTTGGCGGGGGCGCTGCGAGGAGCAAGTTGGTGATGGCACGTAGCTCGTGTACTCTCTGAGGAGACACCGTGTCGTGAGAGACAAATCAATAAAAACAACTGATAAACTCGCGGCGGAATATATACGTGGGGCTGGGTTCACAGCGATTGTAGCGGGAAAATGACGGGAACACTTGACGGTCGCGGCCTTCCGACTCGCGCCTCCGCCTCACTGGCACTATTGTAGCCCTGGCCGGTGCGCGTGCGGAGTTGAAGTTCCGGAGTATATACTAGTCATTTTGGCCTGTGGTTTTGGCTTCTAGTGGTCGGTATAAAGCTACAAAATTTTTTATCCTGGGCAGGCGGCGTAGTTTGCGAAAAGGTGTGATTGTACCCAAGCACACGCAGACCATGAAAACCGGAGAGCAGTGTGTGTAAGCAATACTGTATGTAGCATCGTGTGCACAGCTTCAAATATCAAAAGTGCTCACTTTTCCTTGCCGACATTTTTCGCCCATCCAAATTAGCGTTTCTTTCTGCATTCTGGGATACGTGCTTGCTTTTCGGAAACTTCCGAAGGTATTCGCCCTTTGGACATTCCCCAAACGTGTTCCACCCCAATTAATGATGACAGGACGTTTATATGCCAGAGCGCTTGAGTCTCAACATTGTGTAGGCAGTGGCTATCTAATATATTTCACGCGCTTGCTCGCTACAATCCCAGCCCACTGCGCCACAGCCAGGTGAAGTAAGCAAAGTTGTAATGTTCAGCACAGCCCCGCTTTTACAGGCGTCGCAGTCAGTCAGTCAGTCTTACACACCTCCAAGCATGGAGGACGGGCCACACGCACACACACGCTGCACACGATTGGCTCGGGAGCCGACACGAGGCGCACTGTCACCGGCCTTAGCACCGGGTCCGGACTGCTGGACACACAGCACACAGCACACAGGACAGCTCACGAGGCGGCGCTATATAGTGGGGTTCTCATGGGACTGACGCGGGCGAAGAAGGTGGAGCACAGGGACGGGAACACAGAACTCTCGAACTGACAGGCGTCGCGTAGCTTTGCAAACAATCCATTGCGGATGCAGTTACTCCACTTTCACAATGACTAATCGATTGTCTTATGCAACTCCATGCAATGCTTGTGAGATCAGTGATGTCTTTCGTACAGGCCGGTGATCAGATCGCATGACGAAGAGCTGCGCAAGTTCTTTACTGAATCAATGCGCCAACCGTATTCCTGTCGTTTCCATATCGGGTCCCTATACGATAATGGTGTTTGTGCATGAGCTGACGCATGCAGCTGTCCACATCGTGCCTCTTGCCTTCCCATTGTATCAACCTCGGTTGCCAGCGGGAGAACAATGTCTTACTCCCATTAGATGCAATCGCAGCACATTCATGGCCTTCAATATCAATCTTGACGACATCCACCGAAGGCAAATTCAACGCACGCAGCACCGAGTCAAGCGTGCGCGTATGCGTCCTCTCACAAGCCTCATTTTGATCCGAGGTACAAGGCAGTCTTGGCGCCCTGTCACACTTCAAGACACCATTACCAATTCCACCATTGCCATGGAATTTGTTATTGGCAGTCACCGTGCAAATTCTGCCTTCGTTATCAGGCGTGGATAGTGCAACAGGGACGACTCTCACCCGCTGTGCAAGGGTTGGGTTTAAGCACAGGGACACGTTGAGAGCAAGTAGGTTCCTTGGCATTGGCTCGATCGCAACGGTACGCCAGCCCGCATGCGCGAAAAGTAGGGAGTAGAACCCGATGTTTGCACCAACATCAAGTAAGTAACGAGGCTTTGTAAGGATGGATGGCAGCGTTGCATTTGCCAAGTCTGCAAGTTCTTGTGGTGCCTGAATCTCCCAGAAGCCTCTGTGACGGATGTTGCGGCTCATTGGATCGTTGTGGTGAGTCCTTACAGCCATGTCAAAAAGTCGACCTTCTGTGGTTCTCACTGGTACGACAGTGAGATCAGACGGAAGGGTTCCGCAGCGAGCGTCCATCTGTTCACGAGCCAGGATACGGGAGCCGTTCTTGTCACACGGGAGTCGCCCTCACGGGTTCGGCACGCTGTCGAGGGTCCTAGTAAAAGGAAAATGGCCTCCAAAAAGCATACCTCGAGGTATGAATACTCGAACTGTGAATTTAGCCGAGAAGACGCACGGATCACAGGACAAAAGTTGATTGAAACCGAAGGTGGTTAAAGACCTCGCGAAAATACGTGAGCAGAACGGCAGGCAGGCTGGCTGGGAAGCCGCGTTTCCCTTGCAGCTTGTCCGTCTATCTATGAATACTCCCTGGCAGCCTGTCACGTGTCACAAGAAAGCAGGCGAGGTTCTTCACTCGCCAGGACTTGATGTATGTTTTTTTATGCCGCTGGCTATCGCATGCCGCTTGCTATTGTATGACGCTCACGATCGCACTGTGTACGTCTCTCTCTCTCTCGCACGGTCATTATGCCGCTCACTATCGCATGCTGCTCGCTATTGCATGCCGCTTTCTATCGCAGATCGCATGCCGCTAGCTATCGCATGCCGCTCGCCATGCATGCCGCTCGCTATCATATTTCTCTTGCTCGTTTCGTATGCCGTGTGTAAGTGTGTGAGCATGGGTAATGTGTACGAGTATTTTCTGGCTTCTTCGTCCGACCAGCAAGACCTGACATGTGACTCCATAGACATGAGTAAGTGTGAGCATGGGTATGAGTACGAGTATTTTCTGGCTTCTTCGTCCAACCAGCAAAGCGTGACATGTGACTCCACACCGCCCGACGCCGCGAGCCCGCCATGGCATGCCCGGCCGCGCCAAACTCTCCCGCCGTCGGCCACGCCGCAGCCCAGCCTCGCTCGCCGCGTCATGGGTCGTAGATGCGTGCGTGCCAGTGCGTGACAATTCGTGACCATGCGTGCATGGGCTGCTAGCCACTCGCCACGATCGAAATGCCGTCGCAGCCCGCTGCCAGCGCTGCTGCCTGCTGGCGCTGCTCGTGCTCAGCTGACGGCACGGACCAGCAGGACGCAGTGAACCGACGCAGTGAACCAACCGCGTCGCGCGTGCCTTTGGCCCTTGCGATAAGTAGAGTGACCCCCCCCTCTGCGAGGCAGCGAAGCCACCGCTCGTGCGACGCAATCTGAGCGAGCGTGCCCTGTTTAGGGACTGGAGAAGTGCTCTGCTCAGAGTAGAGGTCGGAGACGGGCGGCATCTTGCTAACGAGCGGGAGGCCGGACGGACGTAGTACCCAAGGTTGTAGTTGTTGACCATCCCAAAGTCGACATCCTTGGCCCGGGCGCGGTAGACGCCCCAGAGCTTGATTGCAGCGGTCGCGGATGGAGTTGTAGTGCTTGTTGAAGTAGACGAGCAGCGGCGGTTGCGCGAGGGGCGGTGCTTCGTCGCCGCCAGCGAGGGCGTGGCCCTGGTAGGCTCTGGCCTGTCACGTACGTAGTGATGGCCAGACGGCGAGGAAGGCGGCGACGAAGCACGCGTCGGCGACGTCGGCGTGCCCTCCGATGTTTGAGCCGCCTTTCGCCACCGAGAGCTGCACCTCCTCCCAGGCGCGGTCGAGCTCCTCTGTGGGCGTGCCGTTTGCCCTGGCGAGGATCTCGAAGGAGGTGCGCAGCCGCGGGAGCACCACCGTGTTGAGGACGGGCTTCACACAAAAAACAAAAAAGAATCAGACAGTCGAGAAAGGGATAATTCAAACAGCGCCTGAACGCCATGGCGTTCAGGCGGCACTTCTCTCGCGTCGGCTCCGCCGAGCGCTGCACAGAGACCATCTTCACTGACCACCAACGACAGGTGTGCGACTACGCGCTCGTCTACGCGGAGAAGAAGAACGACGGCGAAGCGCCGTACTCGGTCTCCTTCACCGCGACGCAGAGCGGCGACGTCATCGTACAGCTGCACCCGCACTCGCAGCTCGAGCGCGCGGTGCGCCACGAGCGGCAGGCGCAGGCCACGGAGGCGCCTGCGAGCGCGAGCCCTGCGGCGCCGCCCGCCCCTGCCGCCGCGCCGCCAGCCGCGGAGCCGGCGCCCAAGACGTACGCCGCCGCAGCCGCATCGCAGCCGCAGGGTGCCACCGCGGGTGGCCAGCCCGCCGCGCCTGCGGGCCCGGCCGCCGCCGCGCGCGTGCCGCCGCCGCCCAGCGGCGGCGGAGTGCGCGGCTGCTCCTTCACTGTCCCTAACCCGGGCAGGAAGCGTGGGCAGCAGCAGCGCGGCAAGGGCCGCGGTGCCAGGGGCCGTGCCGATGCTGGACCCCGTCTCGTTGACAAGAACGCGCTGTCCGCGCGCGGCAGCGGGCCCTCGCGCCAGTCGCGCTCGCCGTCGCCCGACTCTCCGCCCGCCAAGCGGGCCGCCTCCGCTGACTCGTCCGGCTATGAAACCGATACGCCGGACGAGGTGCAGCAGGAGGCGGTCCGCAGGGTATGCGGCGCGCTCGGCATGAGGGAGCAGTTCGAGGCGGCGATGGCGGCGGGAGAGCTGCTCGAGATGCTCGAGAGCTTGCCGCGAGGGGCGGTCGAGGCCTCTGTCCGACAGATGCGGGGTTACAACCGCACGGGCGAGTGGCCAGAGCCCATCCTCACCAGCCCTGCCCCGCAGCGCGGCCGCTCGCCAAGCCCCGTCGATGAGTGGTCAGATGGTTAGTGCCCGAGAGCGAGGGGTCCGGGGGGGAGCACAAACATAGGACGCCCAGCCTTGCCCTCGTGCCGCCGAGTGCATATCCTATGCGAGAGAGATCCCCTGTGCCCTGTGCCCAGCCCTCTCCGCGCGGCGATGCGCCCTCCCCCCTCGCTTTTGCAAAATCCTGCAAAGGTGGGGACGTGTCTGTCCTCGACCCAGCCCTAGCTTGGGATGTCCGTTGTATTTATTTATTTATAGGGATAGACCTCAACGACAGTCAGAAGTCAGCGCTGGCTGGGCTTCCTCATAGCTTACCCTCTCAAGCTGCGTGGGTCCGGCCCCCCCCGGCCGGGGGGGGGGGGGGCGGGCATGGACTGGCAAAACGATGGCGGCCAAGCGTCCGCGCGCCGAAAACGTCCTGGTCGACGCTCTCCGCAACGCGTCGGCACCTTGCATCGTGGCATCCTCTGCGCGCGCGTCAGGGCTGGCTGCTGCCGCGGCGGTGCACTCGCTACCAACCTCGGATCTGCTCATCTTCGTCGCCTCTGACGATCGACGGACTATCGCAGTGCCCGACGAGTCGTCGCTCGAGCGGCTTCTCGACGAGGCTGCGTTTGACGTCGAGGCACGCATGGGCACCGCGATCGAATCCCTCGCCGCACGGCTCGCGGCGTGCGAGCCGTCCGTGTACGAGATGGTGCGCTTGGCGGAGGAGGAGGCGCTCGCGTGTGGGTTGGCCCGGCGGCATGGCGTGCGCCTCGCCCTCGAGGCCGTGCTTGGCCACGACGCAAGCTCACCGAGGGCCACCGCTGCCGTCAAGGAGCTCGCCGCCTCCGTGCATTCCGCCGCCGCCGAGCCACGCGCGCCCGTCGCGACGGTGCTCGCGCTGCTCGACGCTGCGGGCGCCGCGGCGCTCGCACTCAACGTGCTCAGCGTGCTGTGCTTTGGCGACGCGCTCGGGTCCGACGCGCTCATGGCGTGGGAGCAGCGGCAGCAGCAGCAGGCGGCCGACGGCACGGCGAGCGCCGACGTTTGCCGGCTGCGCCCTCTGCTCGAGTGGCAGCGGCTGCAGCTTCAGCCGACGAGCACCGGCGAGGCAAGCGAGCACGGCGACGAGGCGCTGTCGCCGGCGGCAGAGGACGAGAATGGCGGCGAGCGCGATCGTGCTGACGACGACGACGGCGCGAGCGACGGCGCGAGCGATTGGGATCGCGAGGGGCAGAGCGACGGCGGTGGCGGTGGCGGTGGCGGTGGCTTCGCCGCGTCCGGGGCGCGGCTGTGGCGGCACGTGGCGGTGCACGGCGAGTGCGCGTGGCAGCCGTCTGCGGCCCGGCCGGCGCTCGTCGCCGAGCTTGGCGCGACGCGCGAAGGCGTGGTGGTGCTCGACGGCCTCGTGGACGATGCGCTGCGTGCCGACCTTCTCCGGCTGCTGCTGGGCGACGCGCGAGGAGGCGCGGCCGGCGGTGGCGGCGCGCACGCGGCTGCGCCGAACGACTTGGCGGCACCGAGCATCCACGAGCCGCCGGCGGGCCGATGGGAGCGCACGACGGTCGACAGCGCGGGGCTGCCGCGCACGTGGGGCATACGGCCGCGGCTACTGCGCGCACTCGAGCGCCGGCCGCCCCGCAGCCTTATCGAGGTGCACACGCGCCTCGCGCGCCTCTACCCCGAGTACGACGTCGCGCGCATCGAGGCGGCCGCGGTCGCTCCCGCGGCGCGGTGCGGCGGCAGCGGCGGCGAGGGCGGCGAGGGCGGCGAGGGCGGCGAGGGCGGTGAGGGCGGTGAGGACGGCGAGGGCGGCGAGGGCGGCGAGGGCGGCAAGGGCGGCGAGGGCGGCGAGGGCGGCGAGGGCGGCGAGGGCGGCGAGGGCGGCCAGTTTGTGTACTCGTCGCTGGTGGCGAACGCCGCGGTGTACGGCCACTGCTTCTGTTGGCACGTGGACGCCGATCCCGCGGCGATGCCGCCCTCGGCTTGGCGGGACGCGTACGGCGACTACACGAACGGCGCGTCGGGCCGCCCGCTGCTCGTCTCGCTGCTCGTGTACGTCGACGACGAGTGGCGGCGCGAGTGGGACGCGGAGACGCTCTTCCTCGACGACGAGCGCGGCGTGGGCGTGCTCGTGCAGCCGCGGCCAGGGCGGTGCGTGCTCATGCACCAGGACGTGCTCCACCGGGTCTCGGCGCCGTCGCTCGCGGCCCGCCGCCCTCGCTACTCGCTTGTCCTCCGGCTGTGCCTCGTGCCAAAGGAAGGGCGAGCGCGCGAGCGCGAGAGCGTGTGCCGGCCCGAGTGGGGGGCGCCGGCGCGCTTCGGTTGACACGGCGTTCGGACCCGAGATGGCTCGCGGTCAGTCAGAGGAGACGAGTCGCTCCTCATCGATCGCAAACCCTGTTAGCAGTCCACCTCCGGGTGTGGGAAGGTATTGTTTTCTTTCTTCGTGCCCAGCGTGAGAGGGAGCTCTGGTAAAATTCTTTGCTTCCAATTGTTTTAGCCTTTTACCTAAAATACAAAAAGGAATTACCGTCCGTTCTGACACGTGCGACGACCGAGCTGACGCCCCTCCCTGGCCACCCCGCTGCCGTTCGGGACGGGGCGTGGGTGCGGGGACGCACGCGGAGTAGGCAGAAGTAGCCGAGAGTGCCGCAGGAGAGCGAGCGCTGTCCCCGTCCTCCCCTTGCGCGCATGATTCCGCCAATCGAGCAGGGCGCTGTGTTTGTGATTGGGCTGCAAAAGGCGGGGACAAGCCAGCTGCACGCCATCCTGCTGCGCGTGCTTGGGCTCGTCAGTGCAGAGCACGCCGGGCCTGAGGCCCTGGGCAACAAGGAACTCCATTTCTTTGAAGGCAAGCACTCTGATTGCGCCCTCAACGCCTCCTCGCCCGCCCTTGCGTGCCTCGCCTCCTTCTCGCGGCAAGCAAAGATGGCGCGAATGCTGCAGAATGGGTGGGTCACCGACGCGACACCCGATTACTTTGGCAGTCCACGAGCGCTTCGCGCCCTGCCGCTGACGTTCCCACCCAGGGAGGGCGTGCTGCCGCGCGTCAGGATCATCCTCACGCTTCGCGAACCCACCGACCGCGCCTTCTCGGCCTACATCAACAACCGGCGCCAGTGCCTCCTGCCTCGCCTGCCGGCTGCAGTCCTGGCGGACCCGGTGCGGCGCGAGGCCGCGGAGCGGATGCGCTCCTTTCGCTGCGAGCCACGCACCTTTGAGGAGGCGGTGCAGGACGAGATGGCGGCTCTCCTATCCAGCTGCTGGCCATCAAACGCCAGCAGCACAGTCACCCCGCACCCACGCAAGAGTGCCGCCTTGGACTTGGCGGCGCGGTTTGCCCAGCAGTGGGACATCTCGCCGGTCAACGTCTGGGAGAACTACATGCGCTGGTCGCCGCCGTGGCCTGTGGCTCCCAGGCCGCTGCCGGAGGAGGGGCAGTGCGCCCTCGAGAGCTGCTGGATCCAGCCTGTCTTCCCGAATCGTCGCGGCTGCAAGGGGTACCTTGCCAACTCGCTCGTGGCGGCCAAGCTGCGGCTCTGGTCGGCTGCCTACGGCCCTCAGCTGCTCGTCGTAAGCTTTGAGGACACGACGTCCGAGCCCGCAGGGACGGCAGAGAGGCTTGCAGCCTTCCTGGGCGTGCCGCGCACGGCGCTCGAGGAGCGCCGGTCGTCTCTCGAGGCGCTCTCCGACCACAGCTGCTGGCACAGCTGTGGCCACAAGCAGCGTCTTGCCGCGGAGCAGCCGGCAAACTTCAGCACCGTGCTCCCTGCAGTGCGCTCCGCCCTCGATCTCTTCTTTTCGCGCGATCAGAGAGATCTGGGGGCGTTTCTCTCCCAGGCGCAAGTCCCTGGATCGGAGCGTGTTCTGGCCAGGATGCCACGGCGCGCGTGTGGCCGTTGCGGAAGTTGGCGGCGATCAGCGGCAGGCGGCTGAAGACAGAAGAGCATGAGTGGCACCGGGCAACGCCAGCCCCCCCCCCCTTGTTACGGTTAGCTGTGCCGTGCACTTTCCACAACGCACAAGTCTGATCGGTGCACCATGCGCGTGATGCGCCGCTGGACGCGAACCCGCCCTCACTGGCGTTGCAGCGCGGCGACGGAGGAATAATAAAAATACCAAATACCATTTCCCCCCAAGACTATAAGGTAAAAGGTAAGGGGGAAGGTAAATTTCTCCACACACACAAAGTGGTGGGGCCCCAGACTACTTCAGAGGTGCTGCCAGTGGCGCGCACACGGCACAGTGGTGCCGTCACGCTCTCACGCAGCGAGGGCTGGAGGCCCCCTGGGCCCCTGCCTGCAGCCTGGGCGCACCCCATATAGAACATAAAGTAGAAGGCCAAAAAGCCGATCGCCGTATTTCTCGCAGCTGTGTCACGCAGGGGTTTCTTGACCGTTTTACACCTCTACTGGAGGAGATGTGGGTGCCTTGACACGCTCCAAAGAGGACAGCCTAGGCCGGGCGGCAAACGGCACGGCAGAGGGTTGCCTCACCCGCTCGCCGCCGTCCGGCCGGGCCTGGAGTTTCCGCCCGCGACGCCACCATCGCTCCTCAGAGCAGTTTTGGAGGAAGCGGAACCGGTAGTGCGCCCGCCCACGGTTGCGCGTGTCTACGTACTCGCGCGGCGCCTTGGTCACGACGACAGCGTTGCGCACAAAGTAGACCGAGCCGATCATGGCGTCGAGGGCCCCGCTAAAGACGGGCGCGTCGCGCCAGCACTGGAACTCGCGGTTGAGCACGCGGTGGACGGCGGCGCGGAAGAGCTCGACCATGTCCGTCTCCTCCGTCTCGTCCGACATGGTCCAGCCGTACGGCTTGAGCCCCATGCCGGAGGCGCGCGCCCAGTAGTTTGTCTCGATGTCCTCGATGATATAGACCCCTCCGGGCGGCAGCCGCGGGAAGAACTCGCGAAACGTGCGGAGCTGGTGCGACGGCTTGTGGCTGCCGTCGTCGAGCACGACCGACCAGTTGCGCAGCCGCGCCACGCGGCGGAGGTCGGCTCGGCTGCCCTGGTCGAGCCGCAGGATGCGCGGCGACGTGTACGCCTTCTTGTCGGCGCCAAAGACGGTCGCACGCGGCAAGTACCGATCCCACATCTGGAGGGACTGCTCCTGAAAGACGCCAATCTCGAGCATATCGAACGCAGACTGCCGGAGGTGCTCCAGGAAGAAGGGGTAGAAGAGGGTGAATTGGTGCCGCGTCGCCTTGTCGGTCCCCGTCTGCAGCGCGATGCGGTGCAGATCGGCGTGGATCGAGAGCGGGTCGGAACGCCTGCTCGGCGAGACAGCCGAGGCCGCCGAGTCTGCCGCGGATGCTGCAGGCGCGTCGCCGGCCACAGGCGACCCGGCCGGCGAGGATGACGTGGCCGCTGAGTGTCGGCCGGCAGCAAAGCCGAGGAGGCCGCCAACGGCAAATCCTGCCAACAAGGAGAGCGGCGGTGCGGCAGGCGCGTGGCGAGAGTGCGACGGCGACATGCTTGGCATTCCGATGCAAAACAGCAGCTGCGATAGCGTTGACCTTGGCGGGGTGACGCCCACTGGCCAAACTAGAGTAGATGAACCTTCTTTTGTAGTGCCAGTCCGAGCCAGTCTGCTGTGAGAGGGGCTTGTATGGTAAAATTCTTTTGTACTACTCGTCGCCCTGAATGGTTGCCCAGGTTACTCAGGACACGATCCCGGCGTGAACACGCCGATCTGACAAAAGCCCGAGTGCCTACCGCACGCGCCGCGTCGCGGCGCGTGCGGTAGGCTTTGTTTGAAGTCAAAAGTCGAATCAGAGCAGTGTCGGCGTTGTCCTGAGTTTTCTCCCCCGGACCGCCCAACCGGGACCGCTCCGGGACGCACGCCGGCGAAGCACCATCAAGCTGCTGTACGGCCGCGGCATCGCCTCCCCTGGCTTAGCTAGACTGAGAGATATTGTGCACAAGGTTGGCCTCTACAATATATACACTGACACTGAACCTCCCAGAGCTCGTCCCGGTCCGCCACGGCCATCCTTGGCCTCCGGAGGGCCCCCGGCCGCGGCGCGGTGTGGCGGCGTCACAAATCCGACCACAGAGCACCGGGGCGCGGTCGGGCGATCTGAGGCCCAACTAGGCGTATGCATTGCCCATCCAGGGCTATCACCTGGACCCATCAACAGGCGCCTGCGGCGCCGTGGTCACGAGGTGTTGTTCACACCTGGGCAAGCATTCATGCGCAGCACAGTACTTATTGTGTTTCTTTCATGAAAGGTGGGGGCGCCTTCGGAGGCCTTGACGACGACGACGATGAGGAAGAGGAGGAGGAAGGCGAGCTCCTCCGGCCCATGGTGGTTGCCAAGGTTAAGATCGAGGAGAGGCACAAAGCGAAATTTGAAGAAGCTCCGTTGTTCGTGCCACCTTTCATTCAGAACATCCTCTTTGACCTTCAGAAGTCCAGAGTCCAGTTCCTCAACGGGATGCTTGAGTTCGAAAAGGTGGCTTTCGACCCAGCCTTCTACACCTGGAAAACCACACCCACTCCAAAGGGTGGCTGCACAGGCAAGTGCGACGACCCCTGGAACATGCCAAACAGCCAATTCTTGAGGCGACCCGCCCCCGAGGGCATGTTCAAGACCACCGGAGCCTCACTGCAACAAGAATCCTCCAAAGAAGAAAAAGCTGCAGACTGTTCAAAACGCTGAGACGAGATGGGATTTAGGGACATGTGTCCCCGCCCTGCAAATCTGAGGCAAACTCGAGGAAACCGGCAAAATTACCTGGTATTTTCCTGAGGGAGGGTGTTTTCCAGGTAAACCCGGGGTTTTCAGGTGTGTATGCCCGCAAAACACCGGGGATTTTTGCCGGTTCGTTCGGCTTATTTTGGGCCCAATGGCAAACCAGCCTCAGACTTGGCTCAGAGCCCGGAAAAATTTGCGGAGATCAGCAGGAGGATGTACGTTGTACGAAGAGATTAGGAGCAGCAGGGACCCGAGGGACCAGGTGGAAGACGGCTAGTGCTAGTCCCCCATCGGGAGGACGACCCCGGCTAGTCGCCGACCACACCCACAAAGAGAACCCTGCACAAAGATCGCAAGGGCGGGGACCTGTTCCTTTTTACCCATCTCACAGTGTAGAGAGGTGTCCGTTTTTATTGCTCTGCTGTGCTTCTCGCTCGTGCGTCCTTGCAACTTGTGCTGACCTCCTTTCACCTCGTGCTCTCCTATGCCACGTGGCTGGCATAAAAAAGAGCCTGAATCTCTGCGCACACATCTCTCTCAACGAGCTTCCACTCCCTTCCGAGGCGCGTGGACCACAGCCGATCCCCTAGCCACAGCCGATCCCACAAAAGGTTCTTGCGGGCCCAACAAGCGCGCACCGTCTCGCTCGCCCGCGCCCGCTCCTCGCTCGGCTCCTCCACCTCCGACAACCACCACGACCGCCGCCGCGCCACGCCTCCTCACCCGGTCCGTCTCGGCGCGCTTGCAGACCACCTACCACAACACAATGTCGGCCAAGCGCGTCAAGACGTCCGCCGAGGAGCGCATCTTCATGTTCTCCTCCGAGTCTGTCAACGAGGGCCACCCCGACAAGCTGGCTGACCAGGTGTCGGACGCCGTCCTCGACGCGTGCCTGAAGGAGGACCCGTACTCCAAGGAGCGCGCGGCCCCGGCCCCGTCCGCTGCCGCCCACCGGCCGAGCCTCGCCCGTCCCGCCCCCGCTCCGCCGGCCTCGCCCCAGCCCGGGCAGCGCCGCTCCCTCCCCGGTCTGTGAGCCTCCTCTGCCCGCTGGTCGGCAGGTCGCCTGCGAGACCTGCACCAAGGACAACATGGTGATGGTCTTCGGCGAGATCACCACGGCGGCGAAGCTCGACTACGACAAGATCGTCCGCAACGAGGCGCGCCGCGCCCGCCGCGCGCAGCCCACCCCCTCCCCTCCTCGCCTGCCCGCACCGCACCGCGCCAGGCCACCGCCGCTCAAACGAGTGCACTAGATGGCCCCTGGACGGTGCCGAGGGATGGGCCTGCCCGCGCGCCTCAGCCTAGCCCGCCCACTCCCTCGCGCGCAGGTCAAGAAGATCGGCTTCGACTCCTTCGTCGACGACCTCTCGTCGGTCGACTCGAAGGGCGAGCCCCTACCCCCTGCTCTCCCCGCCCTCCCTGC